AGTGAAGACAGACGACAGGATTGTGCTTTGAAACTTTTATTCATGAACGTTTGGCTCAGCCAACCTGGAAACGAACAGATTTCAATAAATAAAAAACAAACCAAGGCTTCAAACCTCGCTGTACATCAAACACGTGATCAGGCATGTTCCTCAGGCTGATGGTGCTATGAAACAAAGCAGGAGAGCTGCGTCTGTAAGGCAACTGGAGCGCTGGCGCCGTGGCGTCGAGGATGGCGCCCTCAGTTTTGGGTTCAATAAAAGCACAGAAACCGTCTCTGATCATCTGAAGGTGCATCTTCTGTGGAAACATCTCCAACCAATCATGAGAGTCCAAACCCTTGAAAAGGCGACGGTTCAGAGGAGTCCTAAGGGCTGGTCTGCTCCCGTTAACCGTACGGGGATCTCCCAGCATGCCGCTGGCCGGGGGAGGCGTTATTCCAAGTCCTGGAGGTTGATGGTGCTTCCTGTGAACTGGGAATTGTCAGAGCCGTTGTCGTCCTCCGGCATCACTGAGGGTTCCTGCAGGGAAACAGTAAAAGCCAGGTTAACGTGCTGGATCATGGCGCTGCAGTAATGAGCTGGTTAGCTTTAAGTCCACCAAGGAACCGCTCATCTGTCCAGAACTACCGATCTGTCAGAGTCCAGGGAATGGGATCCAGTCTGCACATGGAGTCCATTACTGGTAAACTCAACTGGAGTTCTCATCAGTTGACTTCCTGCCTAATCGCTCCGCTCCGTGTTTTAGGGAATCAGGGAGTGCCAGCACATCTGGGTCTCTATGGAAACGCAGGCGCGGCACACAGGGTGGAGCTGCAGCACATCAAAAAAGTCTCAACCTACCCCTCCCTGGACTTTTGAAACCCACAGTATGACAGATCCTTTACCTTGCTAAGCCCTGGGCAGGTGGAGTCCCGTTAAAAAGCTGCTCAGCCAATAAAATACGACTGATTGAAATATTCAGACTCTCCAATAAGTAGAGGAACAATCCTTTTGGTCTCTTAGCATACATCGTTTCTTCATCGAGGCTAAATCGTTACCCTTCTTGGACACCGTAGTGTCGTCCTCCGACAGATGTTCTCCTCGTGTCCATGTGAACCTACCTGTAAAATGTTGACAGGCAGGTCGACGGTGAGCTGGGAGTCGGAGCTGGAAGGCTGGGAGCTCAGCTGGAAGGCCAGGTCGCCATCGCTGGCTGGATCATCCTGCACACACACACCCGTTAACGTTAGCTTCCTGAAAGATTCACTCGGTGATAACCTACTGGCACAATCTGAAGCCATTCTATGGCGCTGATATCTGCTAAAAACAATCGTGTGAGTGCATGTGTATCACTGAGGGTATGCTGGCCTGATGGGGGAGGCTGAGCTGACAGAACACAGGCAGTAGCCGGATTGATTACGTAGAACTGAGTAGTTCTGCCTGTGAAAAGGAGCGACGGTTGGTGCAATACTCTGAGCTGATTGGGTGACGTGCCAGCTAGTACCCGCCTTCCATAATACGCTTTGTGACTTTTCCCATTTACAAATGCACCAAGTGATTCTCGTAGCCATGTTTGCCTCTTCTGCCTGTCGTCATTCCTGAATGTCCCGCCCCAAAAAAACACTGCTGGCGTGTCACTGGCTGTTATCACTGATCTCTATTCACTGGATTGCTGATTGCCCGTTGGTAGTACCTGGTTGAAGCGAAGCCATATTGGTACTCCCTAATTAGACGGGTTGCAATGTAAATCTGTGAGCTACAGCATCGAACAACGATGATGTTCTCGTTTTCAGAGGGACTTAAGACTTTTAAAATAAAGATAAATTCATCACGTTGACACAGACTGGCTGGTGATTTATAACCGT